AGTAAGGTCTGCATATTTGCCATGTTTTTCTTGAATCTTGTCAATCACAAAAGGGAGAATTCAATGATACAAATGATTTCACTGGATTTATCAAAAAAGGACAAGATCAGGTTCCTTGTATTATTGTTGTTGTTGTTGTATTATTGTTGTTGTCATCGTCGTCGTTGTTGACTTGAATCATGCACAAGCCTGACTAGCACCCTAGTATAGGTATATTACACCTTTTTATAATCACATGGCCCATTTGTATGCATCGCCAAACTTTGAATGGATAGTATGGCGACTGACGAGACAGCAAAACTGGAATAAACATATTTGTACTGACTGCTCATCCTACAAATAAAATTTACTCTCAAAATAAATGTTCCAGTGTTTTCCAGTCCAGCTTCCATGGTGGGCATGCTTGAATGTAATCAAATTGGGGACATGGAGAAATCATTTGAATGTATGACTGCAAAGTGACACGTGTTTGTTAGATATAAACAACTATGTACAGGGAGGTGGAAAATACATCAAAGAATAGTTTCCAGTGCATGAGCAAAGACAATTTAGCATCAAACAAAACCTTGCCTGCAACAGAGTCAAATGTAGCTAGCATGTCATGGTGCACATCTCCAAGGGATTGTGTTGCCAAGGTGCTGCTGAGTTTAAAATTTCAGGAAGTCAAGAATCCTCTGATTATGAGATTATAGCCCACATTTGCTCTGATTAGCATTCTTTGTCTGTCAGTGCCAAAACAAATGGCCTACCTTACCCTCCAATATGTCTGATCTTAATGGTGAGTGATGTATATCTCCTCTTCCTCCAAGATGCAAGATATCAATGGTGAATGTTCAATATATCATCTTTTTCAAAGATCCATGATATCAATGTTGAATGTCCAATATATCATCTCTGCCAAGAAGCATGACATCAATGAAAAAATAATCAATATCACCTACTTCTTCAAGAAGCATCATGTCAATGTTGAATGTTCAATATTTTATTACTGCCAATAAGTATGATATCAATAATGAATGTTCCATATCATCCCTTTCTTCAAGAAGCATGATATCAATGGTGAATATATACCAAAGGTGAATGTTCAAAATCTATTCTCTGCCAAGAAGCATGATATCAATGTTGAATGTTCAATATCTCCTCTTCTTCAAGAAGTATGATATTATTGGTGAATATTCAATATCTCATCTCAGCCAAGAAGCATGATATCAATGTTTTCCTTCCTTTGAGAAGCATAATATCAATTCAGAATGTTCAATATCTCCTCTATCTTCAAGAAGCATGATATCAATGGTGAATTTTCAATGTCTCATTTCTGCCAAGAAGCATGATGGCAATGGTGAATGTTCAATATCTCCTTCCTTTGAGAAGCATAATATCAATTCAGAATGTTTAATATTTCCTCTTTCTTCAAGAAGCTTTATATCAGTAGTAAATGTCAATATCTTCTTAAAGAAGCATTATGTCAATTCAGAATGTTCAATAGTTCATCTCTGCCAAGAAGCATGATATCAATGGTGAATGTTCAATATCTCATCTCTGCTAAGAAGCTTGATATCAATGGTGAATGTTCAATATATCATCTCTGCTAAGAAGCTTGATATCAATGGTGAATGTTCAATATCTCATCTCTGCTAAGAAGCATGATATCAATGGTGAATGTTCAATATCTCATCTCTGCTAAGAAGCGTGATAACAATGGTGAATGTTCAATATCTCAACTCTGTTAAGAAGCATGATATCAATGGTGAATGTTCAATATCTCATCTCTGCTAAGAAGCTTGATATCAATGGTGAATGTTCAATATCTCATCTCTGCTAAGAAGCTTGATATCAATGGTGAATGTTCGATATCTCATCTCTGCTAAGAAGCATGATATCAATGGTGAATGTTCAATATCTCATCTCTGCTAAGAAGCTTGATATCAATGGTGAATGTTTAATATCTCATCTCTGCTAAGAAGCTTGATATCAATGGTGAATGTTCAATATCTCATCTCTGCTAAGAAGCTTGATATCAATGGTGAATGTTCAATATATCATCTCTGCTAAGAAGCATGATATCAATGGTGAATGTTCAATATCTCATCTCTGCTAAGAAGCTTGATATCAATGGTGAATGTTTAATATCTCATCTCTGCTAAGAAGCTTGATATCAATGGTGAATGTTCAATATCTCATCTCTGCTAAGAAGCTTGATATCAATGGTGAATGTTCAATATCTCATCTCTGCTAAGAAGCATGATATCAATGGTGAAAGTTCAATATCTTATCTCTGCCAAGAAGCATGATATCAATGGTGAATGTTCAATATCTCAACTCTGCCAAGAAGCATGATATCAATGGTGAAAGTTCAATATCTTATCTCTGCCAAGAAGCATGATATCAATGGTGAAAGTTCAATATCTTATCTCTGCCAAGAAGCATGATATCAATGGTGAATGTTCAATATCTCAACTCTGCCAAGAAGCATGATATCAATGGTGAATGTTCAATATCTCAACTCTGCCAAGAAGCATGATATCAATGGTGAAAGTTCAATATCTTATCTCTGCCAAGAAGCATGATATCAATGGTGAAAGTTCAATATCTTATCTCTGCCAAGAAGCATGATATCAATGGTGAAAGTTCAATATCTTATCTCTGCCAAGAAGCTTGATATCAATGGTGAAAGTTCAATATCTTATCTCTGCCAAGAAGCTTGATATTAATGGTGAATGTTCAATATCTCATCTCTGCTAAGAAGCTTGATATCAATGGTGAATGTTCAATATCTTATCTCTGCTAAGAAGCTTGATATCAATGGTGAATGTTCAATATCTCATCTCTGCTAAGAAGCTTGATATCAATGGTGAATGTTTAATATCTCATCTCTGCTAAGAAGCTTGATATCAATGGTGAATGTTCAATATCTCATCTCTGCTAAGAAGCTTGATATCAATGGTGAATGTTCAATATCTCATCTCTGCTAAGAAGCATGATATCAATGGTGAAAGTTCAATATCTTATCTCTGCCAAGAAGCATGATATCAATGGTGAATGTTCAATATCTCAACTCTGCCAAGAAGCATGATATCAATGGTGAAAGTTCAATATCTTATCTCTGCCAAGAAGCATGATATCAATGGTGAAAGTTCAATATCTTATCTCTGCCAAGAAGCATGATATTAATGGTGAATGTTCAATATCTCAACTCTGCCAAGAAGCATGATATCAATGGTGAAAGTTCAATATCTTATCTCTGCCAAGAAGCATGATATCAATGGTGAAAGTTCAATATCTTATCTCTGCCAAGAAGCATGATATCAATGGTGAAAGTTCAATATCTTATCTCTGCCAAGAAGCTTGATATCAATGGTGAAAGTTCAATATCTTATCTCTGCCAAGAAGCTTGATATCAATGGTGAAAGTTCAATATCTTATCTCTGCCAAGAAGCTTGATATTAATGGTGAATGTTTAATATCTCGACTTCCACACAGCATGTGTTCAAAGTCTGTAGACATGCAATCATCCAAGAAGTCTAATATCAGTATCTATGCCCCCTTCTTCAAACAAACGTGTATATCTATCGACAATGAAGTCTCCCCCATCCCCTCTCCTCCCTCCATCCATCAAGGTGTATGATATCTATTTCCCCATGTTTGTATAGAGGAAGCTGACAGTAGTGATGATGGCAGCCCCATCAACAGGTTCCCTCACATCATCACGCTTTGGTTTTGTTCTCTGGCTAAACACTTGCCGTTCCAACCATCATACTCACAAAGAAAGGTCAAGTCATAAATATTGGTCATTTATATCCCACCTGCCTTAGGTCGCCTTTCATTGTAAACTCCACACTGCTCCCTACATAGTGAGGCAGGGCATGCAGGATTACATTCACCCAAATAAATACATGACATTTTCAATGCAGGGAGAACGATAATATTGCAAAGCCCGGGTCCCAGTAGTGGGCACTTGTTGAAAGTGTCTGGGGAGCTTGTTAGGCACAGATCTCCCAACACAGGTTGTTCTATTATAGGAATTGAATGGGACACATGATATAATCTAGGTGCATAATGAGATGAGATTTCCTTGAAGCAACAAACACTTTGTCTGGGCATATGCTCGTGCAGGCACACTGCGCCTTTCACTCATGTTTCATATCATGAAACTAGTCGTATACTGACGGTATACTTTGGATGTAACATACTAATCTGCAAAAATCATCAGCAGTTGAAAATGATCCAAAACAAGATTTATTTTTCTATCAGACAATATATTTATTTTTCCAAAGAAATGGATCAATAGTATTCTGTGACAAAGTACACCTGCACTCACCTGGTAGTGTTTGTACATGGATACAACCATTGTATTCAGTGACTGAACACACATGCACTCACCTGGTAGTGTTCCTACATGGATACAACCAATGTATTCAGTGACTGAACACACCTGCACTCACCTGGTAGTGTTCCTACATGGATACAACCAATGTATTCAGTGAATGAACACACCTGCACTCACCTGGTAGTGTTCCTACATGGATACAACCAATGTATTCAGTGACTGAACACACCTGCACTCACCTGGTAGTGTTCCTACGTGGATACAACCAATGTATTCAGTGACTGAGTACATCTGCACTCACCTGGTAGTGTTCCTACATGGATACAACCATTGTATTCAGTGACTGAACACACCTGCACTCACCTGGTAGTGTTCCTACATGGATACAACCAATGTATTTAGTGACTGAGTACATCTGCACTCACCTGGTAGTGTTCCTACATGGATACAACCATTGTATTCAGTGAATGAACACACCTGCACTCACCTGGTAGTGTTCCTAAATGGATACAACCAATGTATTCAGTGACTGAACACACCTGCACTCACCTGGTAGTGTTCCTACATGGATACAACCAATGTATTCAGTGACTGAGTACATCTGCACTCACCTGGTAGTGTTCCTACATGGATACAACCAATGTATTCAGTGACTGAGTACATCTGCACTCACCTGGTAGTGTTCGTACATGGATACGACCGATGTATTCTGTGACAGTCCTATTTTGCCAGCTTGCTCTGTCATCAGTCCGAACGCACACAGGAAGTTTGGTCTCATGGCTAACTCAGGAGCCTGCTCTGTTGCCACTGGGAGAAGAAAACAGAACATCTTTTTGAACAAGGTCCTACCTCAGCCGCCTCAGTCACAGTCCACTTGACACTAGTTCAGGGAGTACCAGTCAAACTCATATCTGACAACTGGTTTAGCTAGTCACATCTTACAACTGGTTTAGTTGGTCACATCTGACAACTGTTTTAGTTGGTCACATCAGACAACTGGTTTATTTAGTCAGATAGCTGATTTAGTGGGTCACATCTGACAACAGGTTTAGTTGGTCACATCTGACAACAGGTTTAGTTAGTCACAGATAGCTGGTTTAGTGGGTCACATCTGACAACAGGTTTAGTTGGTCACATCAGACAACTGGTTTAGTTAGTCAGATAGCTGATTTAGTGGGTCACATCTGACAACAGGTTTAGTTGGTCACATCTGACAACAGGTTTAGTTGGTCACATCTGACAGTTGCTTTAGTTGGTCACATCTGACAACTGGTTAGGTTGGTCACATCTGACAACTGGTTCAGTTTATCACATCTGACAACAGGTTTAGTTAGTCACAGATAGCTGGTTTAGTTAGTCACATCTGACAACTGGTTCAGTTTGTCACATCTGACAACAGGTTTAGTTAGTCACAGATAGCTGGTTTAGTTAGTCACATCTGACAACTGGTTCAGTTTGTCACATCTGACAACAGGTTTAGTTAGTCACAGATAGCTGGCTTAGTTAGTCACATCTGACAACAGGTTTAGTTGGTCACATCTGACAGTAGGTTTAGTTGGTCACAGATAGCTGGTTTGATTTGTCACATCTGACAACAGGTTTAGTTGGTCACATCTGACAACTGGTTTAATTGGTCACATCTGACAACTGGTTAGGTTGGTCACATCTGACAACAGGTTTAGTTAGTCACAGATAGCTGGTTTAGTTAGTCACATCTGACAACAGGTTTAGTTGGTCACATCTGACAACTGGTTTAATTGGTCACATCTGACAACTGGTTAGGTTGGTCACATCTGACAACAGGTTTAGTTAGTCACAGATAGCTGGTTTAGTTAGTCACATCTGACAACAGGTTTAGTTAGTCACAGATAGCTTGTTTAGTGAGTCATATCTGACAACTGGTTGAGTTTGTCACATCTGACAACTGGTTTAGTTAGTCACATCTGACAACTGGTTTAGTTGGTCACATCTGACAACAGGTTTAGTTGGTCTCATCTGACAACTGGTTTAGTTGGTCACATCTGAAAACTGGTTAGGTTGGTCACATCTGACAACTGGTTTAGTTGGTCACATCTGGCAACAGGTTTAGTTGGTCACAGATAGCTGGTTTGATTTGTCACATCTGACAACAGGTTTAGTTGGTCACATCTGACAACTGGTTTAGTTGGTCACATCTGACAACTGATTTAGTTGGTCACATCGGACAACTGGTTAGGTTGGTCACATCTGACAACTGGTTTAGTTGGTCACATCTGACAACAGGTTTAGTTAGTCACAGATAGCTGTTTTAGTTAGTCACATCTGACAACAGGTTTAGTTAGTCACAGATAGCTTGTTTATTGAGTCATATCTGACAACTGGTTGAGTTTGTCACATCTGACAACTGGTTGTCACATCTGACAACTGGTTTAGTTAGTCACATCTGACAACAGGTTTAGTTGGTCACATCTGACAACAGGTTTAGTTAGTCACAGATAGCTGGTTTGATTTGTCACAGATAGCTTGTTTAGTGAGTCATATCTGACAACAGGTTTAGTTGGTCACATCTGAAACTGGTTAGGTTGGTCACATCTGACAACAGGTTTAGTTGGTCACATCTGACAACAGGTTTAGTTAGTCACAGATAGCTGGTTTCGTTAGTCACATCTGACAACAGGTTTAGTTGGTCACATCTGAGAACAGGTTTAGTTGGTCACACATAGCTGGTTTGATTTGTCACATCTGACAACAGGTTTAGTTGGTCATATCTGGCAACTGGTTTAGTTTGTCACATCTGACAACTGGTTAGATTGGTCACATCTGACAACTGGTTTAGTTGGTCACATCTGACAACTGGTTAGGTTGGTCACATCTGACAACAGGTTTAGTTAGTCACAGATAGCTGGTTTAGTTAGTCACATCTGACAACAGGTTTAGTTGGTCACATCTGACAACTGGTTTAATTGGTCACATCTGACAACTGGTTAGGTTGGTCACATCTGACAACAGGTTTAGTTAGTCACAGATAGCTGGTTTAGTTAGTCACATCTGACAACAGGTTTAGTTAGTCACAGATAGCTTGTTTAGTGAGTCATATCTGACAACTGGTTGAGTTTGTCACATCTGACAACTGGTTTAGTTAGTCACATCTGACAACAGGTTTAGTTAGTCACAGATAGCTGGTTTGATTTGTCACAGATAGCTTGTTTAGTGAGTCATATCTGACAACTGGTTGAGTTTGTCACATCTGACAACTGGTTTAGTTAGTCACATCTGACAACTGGTTTAGTTGGTCACATCTGACAACAGGTTTAGTTGGTCTCATCTGACAACTGGTTTAGTTGGTCACATCTGAAAACTGGTTAGGTTGGTCACATCTGACAACTGGTTTAGTTGGTCACATCTGGCAACAGGTTTAGTTGGTCACAGATAGATGGTTTGATTTGTCACATCTGACAACAGGTTTAGTTAGTCACATCTGACAACTGGTTTAGTTGGTCACATCTGACAACTGATTTAGTTGGTCACATCGGACAACTGGTTAGGTTGGTCACATCTGACAACTGGTTTAGTTGGTCACATCTGACAACAGGTTTAGTTAGTCACAGATAGCTGTTTTAGTTAGTCACATCTGACAACAGGTTTAGTTAGTCACAGATAGCTTGTTTAGTGAGTCATATCTGACAACTGGTTGAGTTTGTCACATCTGACAACTGGTTTAGTTAGTCACATCTGACAACAGGTTTAGTTGGTCACATCTGACAACAGGTTTAGTTAGTCACAGATAGCTGGTTTGATTTGTCACAGATAGCTTGTTTAGTGAGTCATATCTGACAACAGGTTTAGTTGGTCACATCTGAAACTGGTTAGGTTGGTCACATCTGACAACAGGTTTAGTTGGTCACATCTGACAACAGGTTTAGTTAGTCACAGATAGCTGGTTTCGTTAGTCACATCTGACAACAGGTTTAGTTGGTCACATCTGAGAACAGGTTTAGTTGGTCACACATAGCTGGTTTGATTTGTCACATCTGACAACAGGTTTAGTTGGTCACATCTGACAAGAGGTTTAGTTGGTCACATCTGAAAACTGGTTAAGTTGGTCACATCTGACAACTGGTTAGGTTGGTCACATCTGACAACTGGTTTAGTTGGTCACATCTGACAACAGGTTTAGTTAGTCACAGATAGCTGGTTTAGTTAGTCACATCTGACAACAGGTTTAGTTAGTCACAGATAGCTTGTTTAGTGAGTCATATCTGACAACTGGTTGAGTTTGTCACATCTGACAACTGGTTTAGTGAGTCACATCTGACAACTTGTTTAGTTAGTCATATCTGTCAACAGGTTTAGTTAGTCACAGATAGCTGGTTTAGTGAGTCATATCTGGCAACTGGTTTAGTTTGTCACATCTGACAACAGGTCTAGTTGGTCACATCTGACAACTGGTTTAGTTTGTCACATCTGACAACTGGAATAGTCTCATTCATCAGAAGATTTTTCTTCTTCTTGTGTGATGTGTAACGCCACACTCAGCAATAATCCAGCTATAAGACATTATGCTGTAAACAAACCAGTGATCGATAATATGAGGAATATCCCATGCAGTTGGAATACGATGATATGCAATCAACCAAGTCACACTGAGTCTGACAAGTCGAAACCGGATCTTCCATGACACAGATATAATAAATGAAAGTGATCTCTTTTCATAAGGCAATCACCCAAACCATTTGGTCACTTCTTACAGCCAGCATGGGCTGCTAGGAAGCTTTTTCAACACAGAAGCCACAAAGGTTACTTCTCTTGCCATATCAATATTAATGTTGCAGAAGCTCCATCTTCTTACCACCAAAACCTATTGAAAATTCAGTGCAAACTATTAGTGCACAATGTAGTAGATATTTATATATCTGCTTACATATCATGAGAGAAGATGATTTTTGAGACATATGAGCTGCCGATATCAAAGAAGAAATTCAGGAAAGATTTCGATCCCGACATTTATTCCAACAATGAATACAGAATTATGATTACTGAAACAACTTGATAATCTTCCTCCATCCTGATAAAGGTGAGACATTCTGATAAGGGTACTGTTTTTTAAATAACAAGTCATCTGCAAATCATGGAGACCTTGGACTTGCTATCAAAGTTTATCGCTAACTAGATGTTTACCTGAAGGAAATTCTAAACAGAAATAAGATTGTACATATGTGCCTTGAGATATGTCCAAGTTTGTTGGGTTCTAGAAGCTGTACTTCATCTAAGTAGTTAAACGGCTGTACCAAGCATGTGATACGTCTCTGATGACCCACTGTATGTAACAAGCATCTGATACGTCTCTGATGACCCACTGTATGTATCACGTATGTGATCACCTTTATGTATCAGGTATGTGGCACATCTCTGATGACCCACTGTATGTACCAAGCATCTGATACGTCACTGATGACACCCTGTATGTATCAGGCATGTGGTATATCTCTGATGACCCACTGTATGTATCAGGCATGTGGTACATCTCTGATGGCCCACTGTATGTATTAGACATGTGATACGTCTCTGATGGCCCACTGTATGTATTAGACATATGATAAGTCTCTGATGTACCATTGTATGTATCAGGCATGTGGTACATCTCTGATGGCCCACTGTATGGATCAGGCATGTGGTACATCTCTGATGACCCACTGTATGTATTAGACATGTGATACGTCTCTGATGACCCACTGTATGTATTAGACATATGATAAGTCTCTGATGTACCATTGTATGTATCAGGCATGTGGTACATCTCTGATGGCCCATTGTATGTATCAGGCATG